CGTGCCGGTTCCATGGGTGGTTTAAGCCAAGCCATCGGCTCGGAGCACGTGGGAGGCGGGAAACCTCTCTTGGGTGGCAAAGGTGGGGAAGGCTTCAAGAGGACTGTACCGCTGCTCATGGCTTGAGACAGCTCCGCTGGGAAAGGAGAGAAACCCATGGTTTACTGGGGCTTTACACAGACCCCCCACTCCCTTGCTTGAGCATCAGAAAGCACCCGAGAGCCCCAGGGCCAAGGCAGGTCCCACTTCTCCACGTGCACTCAGAGGGTCAGCCTGAGCGCATCCCCCCTGCCCCGTGCCGGCCGGGGGCCAGCTCCCGACGTGGAGGTTATACAGCCGCCTCGTGCAACAACCCCAGCAGCGCTGGCCGAACCCATGAACCGTGCAGCTCCTACGCTGCAGAAATGCCTTCAACTATAAACCCCTGCATTTTGACGGGGCAAAAGGACTGAAGTGATGAGAGGAAGAGAGCCAAAGAGCGAATGCAGAACATCAAGCGTCGACTCCCCAAACCGCGAAGCCCCACAACGGTACGTCTCTCCATCTTCGCCCAGCGTTTGAAAGGACACGGGACTCTTGCTGCAGTGGGTTTTTTTAGCCTTACGTATAAAAGGAGCAGGTTCTCATGATGGAGACGTTACCAATCTGCTCGGAAAGGTCCGATTTGAGTTCCCCTGGTTTATTGCAGCGGTCCCTCCCCACCCGTATCAACATGTCCTCCAGCGGTAGGACAAGAGCAAGGAGCAGAAGCGAGCGTCTGTCTAGAAAGGCCTGCGGAGAGGTGGATGCATTTTTCGGATGTTTAGCATTTCTAGACCTTCCCCTTGCTGACGAAAGCCCGAGCCCTGCAAGTCCTCAGCTTGCAGACTTCAGCACCTATTAAAAGCCACACAGGATCAGGCCTGAAGAAGTCAAGCTAGAGCGCTAACAGCTGGATTTAAAGAGGATGTTACCAGCACCTCCCTTAACCAGGGCAGGGTGGTGTCTACAAGTGGGTATAGGTTGCAGCCGTGTTGGTCTAAGTGCAATGCTTCCTCAGCCTGATGAAGGGTCTTTGTACCCGAAAGCTTGCAAAGAAGTTTTCCAACTCTTCGAGTTGGTCTAATAAAAGATACCGGATTTACCCAAAAAACTTTTTAAACACCAGCATCACAGAAGTCCAATATACAGAGATCGATTAGACTTCCAGTGCAGGACCAGAACCGCCCGTTCCAACACTTTCTGTTCTCATTTTTCACAGCCCAAATAATGGGACTTTCACCTGCTCCTGCAGGAGACTCCTCTGCAGTCTAACAGATCTCGGCACTTCTTGATCTTCCTTGGCATTGTTCAGATCAATGCTCGTCACACCCTTACTATCCTGTTCAACATTTCCAGTCCTTCCTATGCTATCCAAGCAAGTCACTTCCATCTGATCATTGAGCTGAAACGATGCAGCTCTGATAACACCTAATCACACCATACCCATCCCGTTTTTCAATACTTGCATCAGGAACCAGGGGCTTGTTGAGTGCTCAAATACTCCAAGGCAAACTGAAGGTGTGAATACAGTGCAAGCCAGCCTACCCACCCAGCTAGCGTGGATAAGACAAGTGGAGATGCAACAGAATGGGCTTTAGTGCAGACTAGCAGCTCAAGATACGAGTATATTAGCACCATATATTAGCACATATATTCACACCTGCAGCTGAGTGTGCAGATATGCCCCCCCCCCTGTAGCCAGGATTGTGAAATCTGTGCTGGATGTGCATCTCCACCACACAAGCAAAACAGGTGCAAACTCTCCCACTCTGTTCCCTTCCACACCCGCTGAACCCCAGGCCTCACCCTACATTGTCGAGCAGACACAGAGGGGGGTGTGTGTGTGTGTGTGTGTGTGTGTGTGTGTGTAAAAAAGGGACCTTGGACCGCTTGCTATCTTCACTTACATTTTTTCAGTGCTGTTTGCAATCAGCGCTGGCGCATTTCAAACACCTTCCATGCTGTGCACAAGACGCTTAAATAAGCAAGAAAGCATTGCGTTGCGTGCACCACAGCAATGGTCAGACTAACAGGGTTATCTAGCGGACGGCAGCCTCTAATACCATGCAAAGTTCAGCTGCAAAACCTGCTGCAGCAAGGAACAGCCTGAAGCACAACCCTGCAAACATCTGCTCTGTATTTATTTTTCAGTCTGGAGAAGCAGTGTTGTTAGGGGAAATGAAAGCTCAGCTTCAGATTGTAGGAGATCTGTCCGCCACCCGACGCCTCCGCCCATGACTCAAACCCAGACCTGCAGAAAGTCCCCAGCTTCCATAATTACAGTCTTGGACTTATCCCACTGCTCTGTCTGTGAACTTCAATCCTGACCTGGGGCATTTTGCTCGCGCGCTCTGAAGATCGGGCAAAGATGGGCTGCGATCGTGAGGTGGCAACTGCTCTTTAAATGACTTCACTCAGGCCACTTAAATCATTTAAATCTGATTTAGGTCATGGGTAAGGCAGGCCTCTAAGCCATTAAACACACGCTACCGGACTAATTATAATACACAGCACTCTCTTAAGCCTGCAGTCCTTAAAACAGGGTATGGCCAGAACACATTTAATTCTCTATTGACCCAACATTGGAGGAAAACCGATCAGCTGATACTTCAGAGCTGGCAGCATTTACCAGGAGCCAGCACTACATTCCCCATATCTGCTGGAGAGCAAAGGGGACAAGTTTCCTATATCCCGACCACCTTTCCCGTACAGGCTCATGCCCCACCTCGGGGATCTGAGGGAGCTCAGACCCCTGCCTCCCCCTGCCCTGGGCTTCGCTGCTGCACCAATTGTGACAGCGGTTTTGCGATGCTGATGTTTTCTGCCATGACCTACCATCTCCCCAGGACACCAAACACAAACCCAAGAAGCTTTCCCTGCCCGTTACGGAGATCGGTGCAAAGCCCCTGGTGTCATTAAGAAACCTGCATCGTCCGGGTCTCTTCCGACCTCCGTGAAAGATGAGCAGGGAGCTAATAAAAGCTGTTGTTTTCAACAGGGATAACTCGACTCCTCTCTCCCTGCCGACCACCCCAACCACCAGCACCCAAAACACCCCCGAGGGATGTCCTCAGATACTTAGCTTCTAGACGCACCTGTTTGGCAGATTTTTCAGCTTGCGGTGAAATCTTAAAGTAATCTGCCCCCGCTCCCAGCAGCCACGATGCTGATGAAATGACCACCAGACCTTTTTTTTTTCCCTTTCTTTTTTAGCTCCCTGCCCAGGGGTTGAGTTTGTAAGGCAGCGGCTCTCGCGTATCAGACACAGGCTGCACCTCGTGCACAGTAACAAAAACCCCCTCCCCTTCCCATGGGATGGCAAGCCTAAAAGCAGGAGGTAACGAGGCCCATTAGCCATACCAGAGAGCAGCATGCACGAAGGTCATCACTTACCTATTAAGGGATTGCTATTCCTGTTGACTGGCTTGGGGGGAGGGATGGGGGGCTGCTTAGCAGGTGCTCCGCTGGCTGCACTTGCGGCAGCAGCTGCGTTAGTGTTGGCAAGAGCAGATAACGCAGTCCTGGGGGCTGGGGTAGGGGCTGTCTTTGCTATGCTGGTGGCAGCGGTAGCAGTGGAGGATGCAGTCCTTGCAGTGCTGCTGGCAGGGGCCGCATCCCTCGCCTGCAGATCATTTGCCTCCTGGGAAGAGGATGAGGGTCTTTTTGGAGGAAGCAAAGGCTGTTTGGGTACATGTGGCTCCCGGGGCTGGCTACTGGACGAGCCTGTGGAGCGGAAGACAAAACCGCGTCAGAGACGGGGACACGCGGGGCTGAGAAAGAAGACTTCTCCGCTGGTACCGCGTGAGGAGAGGGTGGATTTTGCAGGGCACCACAGCATCCAGCTCCTCACCTGGCCTTTTCTTTGGCTCCTCAGCTGGAACAGGCTTCTTGAGGGTTGTCCTCTTCGCAACCTCTTCTTCCAAGTGGTCGAGGTCAGAGATCCCAGAGCCACTAATGGGGACCGTGTGCCCATTCTTCAGTGCCGTGTGACCGAGCTTGTCGGGCTCCTCGCCATCTGGGAGAGGGGTGGAAGAGAAAGGAGCAAACGGAAACCAGTCAGACAGGGCAAGAGACCGGCAGAGTTGACAAAGGTGGCCGGACAGAGCAAACCAACAATAGGATTCCCACCGACAAATTCATAGCCAGCAATTTGCCACTACTCTGTATCACATTACTCCCCATTACTTCTGGAATAGCGCATTAACATCAGTGCTAGATTATCAACCAAGCTAGCATGCTCAAGAGCAGCATATGGCCAGCCTCCTACGATCCTAGCGTGCAAGAGTTATTCCATCAACTAGTTTATTCCCTCCTTGCCTCCCATCCCACGTCCTTACCGACGCAGGAGGGAACGCTATCAGCTTTGCAGCAAGCAAAACTAGCCTGGCCTTAAAGACCAGCACTACGCCACGAACTGCAATCCAGCAGAAGCCGCACTTACAGCTAATGCAATCTCCGGCAGCCTTCTGGGTCCGTGTATTTGAATGAGTCCCTGTGCTACACCGCATGGCAGAACTTGAATTGCTCGCCAAGTTTCTGCTGTGGGTGCACCAGATTTGCCCCAAAGACAAATGTGCAGAACGTGGCTGATGCCCTCGGAGGTCTCACACTTGCTTGTGCACGGCATTGCAGCAGCGTTTGCCGCCAGGAATGACGTTTTGCCCCAAACGGCTGAACAGTGGGGGAGAGGCCATTCCTCGGGGTTTGATTTCTCCTCCGCAGACTGGCCGTCTCTCTAAAAGCACCGTCCATTTTAACCTTGCCTACTTCTGCTAGCACATCTTCTACAGTCTGACGTCTTGCACAGCGGGTGCAGGAAAATGAAGCCCACCACTTACTTCATCAGACATACCAGAGTGCTCCAAGGAGCAAGCAAAGGTCTATCGAAAATGAGAAGATCTTAATATGATCCTACCACTTTACAGGCCTGGATGAGCTATGCAATTCTTTATCCTGATACGGATGCTATCAGAGTTGGAAAATATTACATGGATAAGGAAGGTAGTTTAAGACCAATGATGTAGCCACGATGGTCCAGAAATTATGCAAGAGATGAGAATTTCTTAGGGTGAGATCTTTTACTAGACCAACTATGAAGTCGGGATGAAGTCAGACACACTTTTGAACGCAAGGCCTGACGAAGAACGTCTTGCATTTGAAAGCTTGTCTAACTTGACCCCAACTACACACAGTTGGTCCAATTCATGAGAAAGATGCTCTCGGTTGTTCAGTTTTAGGTGCCCTGAACATTCAGGCACGTGTGATCTTGTGTGGGTGAGTGAACCAGACTTCAGCGTCGCCTCATTTTCGTGGCAGTTGGAGACTCGTTTTTAAATCCAAGTCTCTAAATCCAAGAACCACCCAGAAAAAGCAATCTGGGCTCATGGGAGAGGCGATCTCTTTTATTGGACCAACAAGATTTTTACAAAAAAAAAATATTTGTTTTAATTATTATTATTATCATCAATATATAATAATAATAATAATAATAATATTTTTTTGCAAAATATTTTGTGATCTTTTATTAGACCAAGATTTTTGCAAAAAACAATTTTAATTATTATCATCAATATATAATAATAATATAATAATTAATGTATTATAATAATAGTAGTAGTAGTAGTAATAATAATAAAATAAATAAATAAATATATATACTTTTTTTTTTTTTTTGCAAAAAATCTTGTTGGTCTAATAAAAGAGATCACCTCTCCCATAAGCCCAGATTGCTTTTTCCTCTAGACTAATACGAGAACCACCCGGAGGCACTTATCCCCAGGCCCCCAGTCACTTCTCATCTCCCGAGTCTACAGTCAAAGTCGCATTGCTAGCGTCTCGAGGCACCGCAGGGAGGCACAGACCACCTGGGCTCTCTCTCTACCTCCTTCCCTCCCTCTCGAGAGGAATGCGATTCCTGAAGGGAGAAGAAAGAGGTGTGCCTGGAGCAGCTGGGATCGACTACCCATGCCAAAAAGGCTGGAAGGCAGCATGGGGGGTTTCCTTCCCCGGGCAGAGCTGAAATTCAGCCGACTGCTCCAACCCCAGCTGAAATCCTATAGCCAATAAAACACTCTGCAAGTCCAAACCAGGAATATACCTGCCCCCCATCGCTACTCAAACTCTGCCCCAGTGCCGAGCTTCCCAGACCCAGTCTCCCTTCTCGCGCCACCTCTCCTCCTGGCTCTTCAACTCCAGTGGCTTTCGATCGCAATGTCAGGATCCAGGTCCACGAGCTGGGAGCAGCCCACCCAGGATGTACCCGCATCCCATACCCCACCCCTCTCTCTTCCCTACATCTTCTCCGCATCAGCTCCACTTGTTTCCAAATCCCATCTCATCACACCCCTGCTGTCCTGCCAAGTGCTTGCCTTTGAAATCCAGGGGCAGATTGAAATGTCTAGGGTGACCACTCCTGTGCAGCTGCACCGCATACAAGAGCAAAGAATATATACCAAAGGGGAACCACGGTATCAGGACCCCGAGCTTTCCACAGAAGTTAAAGTGGTTCTTTTCCCCTCTACAGGACAAATACGGTCTTTTTAAATTAAAAAACACAAAACAAAAATCATCTTCAATAAACTGATCTTATAAAATATGGGATTTAAAACCACAAATAGACTCAGTGGTTCCCTGACTTGCAATGCTTATCACAAATCCTGGAAATCAAGAGATGGAAGAGGTTATAAACCTTTAATCTACCCTGTAACAGGGCTGGATTTCCCCTTCATTATACATTTCCTAGCATTTTGCCCAAGCTAGCCGTCACGCTCTCTACTTCCTAAACTGGGCCAGGTCACCGCAGCCAGGAAACAAAATTGCACCCTTATCAACACCCTTGTTGCACCTTATAAACTCTTCCCTCCCTGACGCTGCTGTCTGGAAATGCATTGCATCTACCTTTTTCTCCTCAGCTTCATCCCACGACCTCTTCTTTTATCTGCCTTCGTGCCAGTCTAAGCAACTCCTCTCCCCATCTCTTCTCCTCTTCTTTAGTCGTAATTAAGCCTCATTTAACGCTATCCAATTCCTCCCTCACCACCCACTTTAATCCTTTTGCTGATTTCCTCCCATTTGTCTACATCCGTTTGGGAAGAAGCAGCCTGGAAATGAGCACCGTCATATAGGTGTGTCCTTTATACATCTCCAAACCAACCTTTGCCTCCTTGTTTCCTCGACTCTCCCCAGGCTGCCCAAAAGCTGGGCTAACTTTTTTTTTTTTGGTCCATTGCATTTCATTTGACCTTGTAGGCCTTGAAAGCAATAAAATCCCATGTTAAATCCTAGCTGCGGTATGAAATAGTCTGTAATCTGAAACAGGACCAAACTGTCGGGATGAATGTGACGGGGAGGGACACAGGGGACAAGACAAAAGGCTGGGCAGAGACACAAATACAGCAAAGACAAGAGAGGAAATGACACAGAGGATCCCCCGCTGACAGCAGACAGGAAGACATGCAAGACGCACAATCCACATCATTAGCAATTTCTTCCTTGCTGAATAGGCTGCCTTCCTAACCAGGTGCAGGAGCCAGACAGGGACTGAGCTAACAGGGACAGACAAAGGGGTCACAATTAGCAAAGAGCCCTTGATTGCATTTCATTTAAACGTGGTTATAAGGGGATCAAACTTGGTCAGAGGTAGATCAGCTGCGGAGGACACAGATAAGTGGATGACAAGTTCATGTGCAAGAAAAAACTCACCCTGCTCAGGGTCTTCCAAGAGAACCCCTCTTTTAACCAGCTCCTCTCGCGGCTTTCGCATAGAAATCTTTCGTTCTAAAACTGACATTAAATCGAGAAACAGCACTCAGAAAAACAGGGCAAGCTGGAGGCGGAAGACTCGTTCTGAGAAATATTTGCTCCTTCGAGTGGCTCAAGTCACTTAACTGGGTGTTGAGAAGGAGGGGGAGGTGGGATTTAAAAGCAGGTTAGCTGGGACCTGTATTCTCATATCAGAGCAAAAAAAAAAAAAAAAATGGGCATAGAAAGTGACAGTTCTCACTGATAAGGGGTTTATTTTCCCCTTCTCACCAAGTTTTCTTGTGGTTTCATGTCGTCTGTCTGGACTAGTATCAGTTGAAAGGTGGTTATAGGGAGATTTGAAGGACCCAGGTACTAAAGTCTCTGGTTTAGTCCTCCGATTGGTGAGCTTCTTATCCCCATCTCTAGCAAGGAATGAAGCTTGGCCTCGCACATGCCAGCACCGAGGCAAAGCTGCAGCCAGCCGCCGTAGCTCCCTGAAGCAGACAGGGTTCAGCGGGCTAGCTGCAAAGGATGCACCTCTGGGACAGGCATCCCAGCTGGAGAAAAGACCCCAACAAGCCCGAGACTTTACCTTCAGAAGTCTCCTTAAACTTGTCGCTGCTTTTCTTTTTCCTCCACTTCCAAGGCTTAAAGATCTTGCCAAAGCCCGAGAACTTGCTTTTCCTCTTCGTGGGGGGCGTAGCGTCTCCAGACTCCAGCACGTCTACCCCCATCCCGGCGTCACCCACGGGATGATCCACTTCCTCAGCTACACAGGATGAAAAAGCAAAAAGTGACATGCGCGCTCCCCAAAACAGACCTGCTAGGTCTTCTTCCCACCCAGCCAGACCACGGACCCCGGCAAAAGCGATGATGCACGTTCATGCGGGGGGACTCCATGCCTTCACAGAGCCAGTCAGCGTCTCGCGCGAGCCAAGTTTTCGACATCAACAGGCTCTAACATACAGCGGTGGGCAAAGAGTGACTGGTTAAGAGACCCCCAAGCAAAATGAGGATTAGTGAATTGCTATACCATGTTATAATTCAGGCCTCGGAGCACAAATTAAACCCTTTAATTGTAGTCACTATTCTTCAGCTGAAAGCAATTGTGCCGAACACAAGTCGTTGCATGAATGAAATGCCTTTCCTCGTGCCGGGTGGCAGATTTCCATGAATGCAGACCCCGTTGAAGTTACCAGCCCATCACAAGAGATCTAGAAAGAAGCCTGTCCCATCCCCTCGCTCCCACCCATCCCGCATGCACACACAAAACGACGGCAACCCCGGGCCAAGAGCAACAAGCTCAGGAAAGCAACACAATACAGCCTCACCAACTCCACCTCCGGTGCTTACAATTCTCAGAAGGGCACAGCGGAGGAGAAATATTTCCTTAACTCAGTGCATCAAAAGAGCCCCCTTATAAAAGGAGCAACCAAGCTCAAGCTGCTGGAGCATGCAGCTTTCTGGGAACTTACTGAGAGGGTAGGGGCAGCTCACAAACAAGCAGCAAGGACTTATAGTAAGATGCTTCATGGGCACAACTTATAGGCTGAGGATATCTGGTGTGCAGGAAGGGAGAGCCCCCAAGTCACGCTACAGACCCCACAATAGGGCTCAGCGCCTAGAAAAGAGCTTAGCACAGTACTCGAGGGCACTGCCCAGCCCAGCACACGGGGCCTCCCTGCACTGGTACATTTGAGCACTTTCTTTTTTCTGGATAACTGCAAATTAAGCTTCCGTGAGGTTTGCAGACTTTCTGGATTCATGAAAGAACCTCTCAACCAGGTTACACTTGCCATGTATCCCAGTGGCTTTTTCGAAATGATCCTGGACTCGCAGGACGTTCACCCTTGCAAGGTGGGAGAGAAATCAGCTGAAAAAAGGGGATTTTCTAGGAAGACCGTAGCATGTGAAAATAGAAGAGCATCATACATTTGGTCCCAGCCTTCCTGGAACAGCTAAAGGACGGTGCCCCAGGGGTCAGGGTATTATTTTAACAGCAAGGACACGAGAAGAAGAATGAAAAACAACAGGAAAGCATCGTTTGGTCCATTTTGCTAGGGCTTCATCCAGCAAACCCTTGGTTCCACGTGTCACATAACATTCAAAGAAGGGCTAAGCAGGCAGGGACCGCCGTCTCACCCCCTTGGTGTCAACACAGCTCCCCCGTTACAACGTGATGCAATAGGATCGAGGTCCCCAGCTGCTCCCTCTGGGAGCCAGGTAGCGATGGGACAAGCTTTAGGACGGACACGGGACAACACAAGGTATGTTAATAAGTCACGAGGAGCAGGACAAGTATTCAAGGAGTTCTTACAGGGACGTGGGGGGCGGAGGAAAAGGCAGTGGGAGAAGAGCAAACTTTAATGACTGCTGCAATGCCGGCGGGGAAGAGCGATCAGAAACCAGACTTCTGCGAAGAACCTGATGTGAAATGACAAAACAGCTGGAATTCTGCATAGGAGTCCATGCCACAACAGGCCGGGGTGGCAGGGATCGGAAAGGGAAAGAAGGAGATCAAAATATCCATGCATTTTCAAATATTCCCTTGCCTGAACTAGTTGGAAAGTATTTGCAAAGCTGACATCCTGGCCTCAAACATGGGCCAGCCAGATTTTTTAAAAAACACACACGCTAAACAGCATGTTTCTCCCTGCTTTATAGAAATTTCTCTCTCCTGACTCACTAGAAATCCAGCTTTGATGTGGAAATGTTTTTTATTGGCCCTCTCCATTAGGAAGTCTGATTCAGTCAGCACCAGTTAAATAGGTGATCTCAGTCACAGTTAGCATCTACTTCCGAAGCAAAGGTAAATTCAAAGTTGTAGCTGGTTACTGCAAGCACGTAAGACGAGAGGAAGAAGCGGACACCTGCATGAAAGGAGCACACAAGACACCAGTGTAATGATGATTTTACCTGGAGAGCAACAGAGACAAAGCGGGGAGGGGAGGGAAAAGAGATCAGCCTGGAATTTAAGACTCCAAACGCCTGGAAGTCGAAAGGCAATTTCTTTTAGAGACCGCAGCACTGCAAAGTGTGGGAAGAGTGCGAGTCATTTGAAAAAGCTGCATTCGCTTTGCTCAGCAGAGCGTTCGGAAGCTCCCGGGGCAAGGGACGACTCTTGCCAGGGACAAACTGGGTTGCATTTGGGACTGAAGTGCCATCCGGGCATTTGAGCCTGTGCTTGGTGACCGCCTCCTCCTGGGACAGCCGTGGGAGCATTATGGAAGGCCAGGTCCAAGTACAAATCGGCAGCCCAGGCTACCAGGAGGAATGCAGCGCTCGTGCTCTCCGTCAGCTGAGGTTTCCACGTGCTGTGCTAAGCAAAATAAAAGCTTTATTAAAAGAAAACTGAACCACCTGTCAGCTCCGCAGATTAAGCGCTTTGAGGCCACAGCTCAGCAAGGGCAGCTTCTCCACTTCCAGTGCAAGGAAGGGATGCATGCTTTTTCTTCTGCAGCAACCTTTGGAGGACTGGAAGCAGGGGACGGACAAGCAAGGTGACAAGCAGAAATCCCACCATCTCCCTGCTAACCAGCCGGTAGCTAGAAAGACAAAGTAAAGGCAGCATAAGGCTGAAAAGCTTCGCTCACCGAAGCAAAGTCTAACTCTCCTAAGATTCACTGCTGGCTGTCGGATCAAATCTCTCAGGTCCGACTCTGGCCCAGAAGTGGATGCAATTCCCATCGACTTCGGGAAGATTTGGTTTAGGCTACTTTGAGCTGGTTCATGAGAAGGATGCAGTGGTTTGGACACGTAACAAGGCCAACACCGTCCTGCAGGATGCTGTGGACGGACGAGGAAGAGGACAAGTTGGATCACCAACATCAAAGCCAGGATGGGATTAAAAAGGGAACGATTGTACAAGGATTGCAAAAGGCCGGAAAGAAGGGGAGAAAGTTATTGCTACAGCAAAAGGTGCCCCAATGGTCAGTGCAGCCTCGGGACTGACTTGACTTGGAGCTGCTCGTCCCTTTGGCCTGGCAGGATAAAACTCCTCTCTGCATTGCATTATTACATTATCCGGCTCTCACTGAAACACTCTGCCCACCCGGGGAATGTGCGTCATGAAGACAGGTCCCTTCCTCATGCCTCGTTTATCTGCAACGCGATGCACGTGGACAATGGGGAGGGAGGGACGGGGTCAGACTGCAAGCGCTACCGAGCCACAACCACATCCAGCAAGTTTTGCAAGGTGCTGCGATCACCTGTGCTGCTCTTCCTCTTGCTGTCAATAACAAGCAAGTGGAGCCAGGCATGCAACGAGTCTGCTATGATGCAACCCGGTACAGCATTCGTTCTTCTGTCTTAATTAGAGGGTGGGTCAGCGCCGCAGCTGCGTGTTAAGAGTGACATGTATTTTGAGCAGCTGCGTTGCTCAGCGGTTGTTCACGCTGGGTAGGGCGTGCGCTTCTCGGGCCGGCCAAGGCAAGAATCCAGACTCACGGGCACATTCGGTTTCAGCACAATTCTCTTTTGAATCAGCGGACAGCGACGAGAAGGCGGCGCGCGAAGGGGCTTGGTATTGGCGCACGCGGGAGCCCTCCAGGCAAGGCGATTTCTCACCGCCTCTCCCTGGTTTGCTGCAGAGCGAAGTGCAGGGCTGCTTTTCTCCCAAACACGCCTGTGTCGAGTCAGGAGCCGGGGACCGCGCCAAGGAGCCGCAACCGGCGCGCTGGGAAAGGGACGGCTGCACGGGAGCTGGAAATTATTACAAGCAAGGGCGTGAGCTTTTGCTTTGGCAGCTCCTTCCAAAGCCCGCCTCGGGGATCTCGCTCAGGGTGGCACGTTCAAGTCGACGCCGAGGGCAGCTGCGAGACCACAGAACCTCAAAGCTTCGCTTTCCAGGCCGGGACCCAGATTTTAAACTCTGAACTTGTGTGAATACAGCAGTGTCCTCACTAACCGGTCAGGAGCTTTCGAATGAAAACCCTCTTTCACGTGCATCCACCGCTGCAACCTTGCCTGGCCGTTTTTTGCAGAACCAGCATGGAAGTTTGTTTGAAAAAAAACAAAAATCATTGCCTCAAACCAGTTTCAAACAAGCACGCTCCCCTGGGCAAGCATTAGCGTTGCACCTCCGTTAGTAGAGTCCTAGGGCCCTGTAGTCGACCGGTCCTTCAATCCCTGACATCCCGTGGTTTAACGCTCGGCTCTCCACGTACCGAAGAATCCCGGGCGAGCGTGACGCACTCCCTCCCTCCGCGTGAGGGCATGGGTCTTACCTACCAGAAGTCAAGTATATTTTAACTAGCACTCAACCGCTCTACCTGCTTGCTCGCATGCGGAGCAGACACTCCGGTCCCATCGCAGGAATAGGATCACGCAGCAAAGTCGGGCTGCACTACACCTAATCCAGGCTCCTGCTCAAGGCACGATCAGCCCCTAAATCACCCCAGCCAAGTCTCTGTCCAACCTGCTCTCGACAACTTCCAGGGATGGAGATGTCTTGTGATGCAATGCAACCGCGGCTCCCCCGATGCACGTGTGAACCGACTGTAGGGTTGGACGTTGGTACCGACCCCGCTGTGCCGACACTCCAGACCACTCCACTATTTAGGACATCCCAATTCAAACTGTATTTTAAACTATACGAGAGAGACTGAGCTATTAAAAGCGGTTTTATTGAGGGCAGCACGTCGCAGATTAAAATCACACGTGCCTAAACAGAAGCTCTGTAGTTCATTTACGCTGGGTATTTTGAAATCATCTCGCTTGGGATTTTTCTCCCTGCATCGTGTTCAGACACAGAAAAGCAGCGCTGGGTTA